GCAGCTGACATCAGTATCCTCTCCCCCATATGATCCGCACAACTACCCTATGAGGTATGTTAAGGTTGAAAGTGTGTGAGTGGTCCAGAATCCCTCAGGCAGCTTTTAAAACATGAACCTGGGACCTGCACACCATCCTATGAATCGCTCTCTGTGGCAGTAATGGGGTGACTGCTGGCACCTTTTCCTATCTTTTTTTGCCTTGTGGTATTCTGCTTGTGGTGTGATCTGTCTTCTTTGTGATGTGGCATGATTGTGTTATTGGTTTTTTTCTTTTGAAGGGGAAGTGATGTGTTGTGAGTGAGGACATATTTTACCTCAGAATACAGTAGGTTCCATATGCAACTGGCAATTCCAACTGCCTTGCGGGGGGGGAGTTTGAGGTGTGGAATGGAGTAAAGTCCAATCAGCTTCCATATGCAAAAGACCTTGAAACGCTGGGCGGGACTGCACAAAGCAGCCAGTCTTCTGACAGTTCTTGCGGCCAAACACTAAAGGTGTGCATTTTGGAACATTGGAGCCCACTATGGCTTTATATATAAGGGAGAGATGCCATCATTGCCAGTTATACACACCAATTCAGAATGTGTCCTGCCACAAATTTTAATATTTTCAGTTAAAATTTCAACAGGAACATTTTCTCTGCTTTTCCAGTTACTCCAATATGAACCACATAGGGACAGAAGACTGCGGTGATTTTCTGAGTTTTTTCCTGTTTGCATTAATTTTTTATTGAATTCATCAACAAGTATACAGAATTATGTACACAAATTATATTGTTCATTCTACCTATTGAAGACTTCTTAGTCTGATTGGTAAATGAGTTTCAAATGAAGTTTGATCATTGCTAATATTATATATAAATATGGGGACAAAGTATGCACAATTTTCTTCTGTACAATGCAGTGCCTACCAGCTGAACTAAAAATATATTTTTTAGAATTCTGGTGTTACAGACAAGCGGAATAAAGAATCACAGAAATATGGAAGAGAAACTATGGGGCATCAAGTCTGTTTTGTGGCAAAATTAGGTACCCTATCTAAGCCTATCATTGTGGAAGAATTCCTTATTATTCCTATGCTG